ATATAAGTTTGGAGGCTTGAGTACAGTGTATTTCTTTTCTCAGTTTAGTTCTTGTATACCTTTATTCATTTTTTTGAATAGCATTTATACCTGGATTAGTAACGTGTGTCAAGGCTTAAAGTCTCATCTCAACATTTAATGACTTGCACTCTTACTCATGTGTAATGAGTGTTCTGCACCCAAATTTTCGAGCCAAGTTTACTCGGACGATAGGGTGACTGCTCGGAACATACTGAGAACTTATGGCTTTATCCCCAATCATTCAAGTCTTTTGACCGGTGCTTGGAAGCCTAGTCCCTAGCGTTCAATGTTTGGAGAAACAGAACCTCGGGGGTGCGCCGATGAGATATATTCGACGTAATAGTCATTAATGATTCGTAATCATGACTATTGATTTGGGTCTCGAGGATGTAAGGGCTCATTAATAATCATATCTTCGTCATCCACATCTTATTAAATGAGCTGTCAAGTCGCTTTAAAATGCTGGTGTCAGTCTGTATATTCGACTCCTCCGAACCATTACTCCTTAGCGCTACTTCTCGGTGCCTTTTGAGTTCGGTAACAACTACGCCATTACATGTGTCAATCTGGAGGCCACTGAGCCGCTTAAAGTTCCATCACAAACCTTAATGGTCTGCTTGGTAATAGGGATGGAAAATAGAAAGAATAGAAAAATAAGAGGAATGGACATTCCATCTATGAAAGAATGAAATATAATTTCTCTATTTATTTTTTAGTACAATCAATGAAAAATTATATGGATAAACTTTCTATTGTTTGATAGTAGAAGAAAAAGAATGGAAAGGAAAAAATATGCACATTTAATTTACTATTATACCCTTTTTATATAAAAAAAAAAAATTCAATCCAAATAATTTTTCAATAAGATTACAGTTTGAAAATAGTCAATAAAAGGGTATAATATGGATTGTTACATAAAACGGTCAAAATAGCTATATATATTTCAAAATTTGTCATGTGTTGTGTTTCTAGAAAAATCCAACAGTAGATATAACACATAGTGAAGGGGTATACAGGTAATTACAACAGCCCCGACTGTGAGTCCCAATTTGCTGTCCTATTTTCGGTCCAATTTTGGACAGATACACATGATATGTGTAGTAAGAATGATGAAAAAGTAGAAGTAATAGATTTTTTTTTTTAAAAGGAAAGGAATATATTTTTTCTTCTTTTTGTTTGGTACAAAAGATGGAAAGGAAGAGAAATTTATTTTCTATCATTTGATATTGAATGAAAAATGAAAGAAAAGAAAAAATATGTATGTTAAAATGACTTTTCCCTACCCTTACTATCCTTATAATATATGAGTAATAGTATTGTGACCTAATTCACTAAAACTTTTGAATTGAATTGAATGTGAACTCCATCAAATTTTAGAACTTATTATTGATCAAATGAATTCAATGAATCTACATCATTATGTCAATAAATCTGATCAAATTTTTAGATCCCAATAATATTACTCATAATATATTGAGCACCTAATATTTCTTGCAATGAATAGTATGAGTCATTCAAGTAGGTTTTTTTTTTGTTCAAATTCATTTCAATAGGTTGGTTATTATGAACAAGCAAAAAAAAAAAAAAAAGTTGGTTATTATATTAGTTGGAATACACCAGATCAATAGTGATAAAGTGGAAGTGAGTACTAAAACAATGTTTTAGAAGTGCATCAAGGGCAAAAACATCAGATTAGACAAACTATTAGTTGGTCTGCAGCTTTTCTCCAACTTTCGGTCCACTTTTGGGGGAAAAGAAATTGGTGGGCGGAAAGGATATCATTTCACTCCAATTTTCCTCTACCTCCTCTTTATCTTTCAAACCAAACAGTGAAATTTTTTTCTTCCATCCACTTTTCCTTCTCTTGTTTTCCAACCACCCTATTTTCTATCAAACCAAACAAAGGGAAAATGACAAAGCGGAAGGAATGGATGCATTTTCCACTTGCTTTTCCAATTCATCCAATTTTCCTTTGATACCAAACAAAGGAAACTCTTTCTTTATTTCTCATTTTTCATTGATCATTTTTCATCTATTCTATTTTCTTTCGAACCAAACAAGCGGTAAAAGTTATGATATTGTCCAATTTTTTTAATGTGTCCACCAACCTATCACACTGCTAACCAATTTTGAGGATAGATGGTGTATAAGGAGTTGAATTTGGGGGTCAAATAAGTCCAATCAACGTGATTTTTGATCATCCATTCGTTTGTAAAGTGTGGATATCCATTCGGACAATAGATCTCAAGACAATCAATGGTGCATCATGGGGTCCCTCTCCCATGTTTTGGTTGGATGGGTCCAGAATACATCTCCAAAAAAATTAAACTCGCGTTTGGTTACGATTATGTGGTGCTGGACGAGTCCACGGTACCAAAATTTTTTTTGTTATTGTACCGTTATTTATTATTTTTATTGATATTTTTATTATAAAAGTGATAAAAAAATCATTATAATAACAGTGTTACAAATATTTATAAAAATACTCATAAAAATAATAAATTATCCTTAAAAATTATATATTTTTATTATAAAATAATTCTTAAAAACTACAAAAATATTTATTAAAATAATAAAATTTAAAGATACACTACCCAAGCCATAGTCAAGTCCATTTGGTGTGCTCCACACGAACGCTGCATTGACAGGTGTATCGTGTGTGTACATACACTCTCTGTGTAGTATGTAGTGTACTCCCCCCACTTTATAAATGACACCTTCCCTCACGCCATCAGACCAACGTTCGAAAAACCTGATTACGATCTTGACCACTCATTCTCAGGGCCCACACAAAATCTTAAAAAAAAAATAAAAAAAAATCACGGTACGTTAATGTGATGAGGCGCTGCCACGTCATCAGCTAAGTAGACTTGGGGGGACCATCCCCCCAAACCCAAAGTCCCAGTTCTGCTGCCACTTGATTCGTGTCATTTTCCAATCAATATTTGCCATAAGTTGTTTTCCACTTATCCCAATTGCCCTGCGCTCCTTTTCGAGTTCTTGTCCAAAGCTTAATGTCCTGTCTCCAATTCATCTACATCCTATCATAGAGCGAAAAAATCAGTTTTTTTTTTTTATATATTAGATGATATTATTTTTTTTGTTTAAATTTGTGCCGATTATTTTATCGAACTCTGACACTAGTCGTCGTAATTTAAGTTAATTTAAGAATATTCTTATGAGAAAAAAAGAGTCAACTTTCAAAAAATGTGAGAAATATCGAATCTAATATCTCTTATTTTACTAGAGAACAGATGTGACCACCGGCTCGAATTCATTTAGACCATCCAATTGAATTGTTTGATTATTAGGGGGACAAAAATGAGTCATTTATGTTGTATTAGATGTTGTTATTTTACGTCCCCATTTATATGTTTAATTTATGAATTTGGAATTCCAAAATTGATTAATAATCTAATTTTGTACTTCTATTTGATTTTTGATAAAATTGAGTGTAGTAAAACTAATATCCTAAGTTCGAATTCTTTTGTCGTAAAGGGTGAAAAATAATATCTCTGTGTCCTAACTTCAAATTTTAATCGTATAAAACTCAATTTTAATTTTTGCACAGGGTTTAATAGTCTAAATTGAAAAGAAAAAAAAAATAAGAAGGGCCATTTATCCTCTTTATGAAAAATTATTTATATATGGTAATGGGATCCTAATTAAAGTTTGAGCTTTGCTAGGCTGATCAAATTTTTGGCTAAATGATGTGAATGACATACACCAACAAATAAGGTAGCATAAAAGAATAAAGTTTAGAGCAATTTTATGTAACTCAAATCTACAATCAAATTTATATCCTAAATGAAAGAAAATCATTGAATTAATGGGTCTCATTTAAAAAAGTTGATGGGACTCATTCATCCATTGGTCTCCTTCATTTGAGATGTAAATTTCGTTTACAAATTTGAATTACATAGTATTTCTCATAAAGTTATGCATTCTAAATGTGCGTATCAAGTAGAACCGTAACATATTGAGCATTGAATGTTTAATGGAAGTTGGTAGGACCAATTAATCTAACTATCTGATTTAGTATAAAAAATTTAATAAAAAATTTGATAAGTGTAACAATTTTCAATGTTAAATTTGATTTGCAATGTTAAAAAAGTTGATGTAACTCATTCATCCAATGGTCTCCTTCATTTGAGATGTAAATTTCGATTATAAATTTAAATTATATAATATTTCCCATAAAGTTATGCATTCTAAATGAGCCTACCAAGTAGAACCGTAACATATTGAGCATTGAATGTTTAATGGAAGTCCGTAGGACCCATTAATCTAACTATCTGATTTAGTATAAAAAATTTGATAAGTGTAACAATTTTCAATGTTAAATTTGATTTGTCACCCCATTGAAGCCTCCAAATAAAATTTACTGTTTATTAATGTTATATGAACCTTATTTAGTGATGTTATTTGGTTATATTATTAGTTATTAGATTGATGGTGAGCTCCGTTATTAATTAAAATTTATTGTCAATTCAATAATTGTAATTTATCGTATTATCGTTTAAAATTACTAAAGTACGTACAAAAAAATATTTCTCTAAATTGTATGGACAAGGAGGCTGGTTCTGTGATATGTACGAGTACGCCCAGAGAATTTAGAAAATACTCACTACAACTGCGATGCCATGATACCACAATTTGATTGAATATTCTTTGCAGAGCATTGTAGTTAGATTGCTGTCGAAACATGGAATAGCAATCTCCATAGAGGATAAAAGAAATTACTAAATCACAAAAAAAAAGGAGTGTATAAATGATAGCACTGAGCTATTGGATCTTTCTCAGTGCTGCTTTGGCCAATAAAGATATACTAATTTTTAAGGTACTTCTCAGACTGTCTCTCCACCCTCCACTCTCCACTATCCCCTCCTCTTTAGAGGGAGAAAATACAGACGAGAGAGAGAGCAAAGTTTGGGGAGGGGAAAAACACATAAACCCATCTAAGAGAGAGGGAGAGAGAAATGTTTGCAGGAGACTATGGAATACAGGGAGACCCAAGGTTGAAAACCATATCAGATGCCATTAGAGTCGTCCCTCACTTCCCCAAACCAGGTTTTCTTACTTTAATGATGCTCCACTTATGAATTATGATATGTACAAGTTTTTTTTTTTTTTTTGGTTTATATGAAAGCTTTCGTAGAACAGCTTACATGGTACTTCTTGTGTTTGTGTGTGTGTGTGTGTGTTTATGTTGGTTTTTTTCTAGGAATAATGTTTCAAGACATAACTACTCTGTTATTGGATCACAAGGCGTTCAAGGACACTGTTGACATCTTTGTCGATCGTTACAGAGATATGGACATCTCTGTTGTTGCTGGTATCCCCCTCTGTGTGTAAATATTTTGCAAATGATGAACCTCTATTTTTGCCAAATTGGTTTTCATTATCCTTCATTTATGGTTCTTGCATCTTCATACATTGCATGACATTCACTAAATTAGCTTTGTGAAAAATAACTTGCTGCACTATGCACTTTTTTCCTGGTAGAATTGTGAATTCAGAAACCAATTACTCTGGTTTGGCATATGACATTATTATACTAGGTTCCAGTAGAAATGGCTTGTCAAATTAACCTGATATAATGAGAATATATACATGGTTGGTTGCAGAATTTCTTGTCATTATTTTATTGTTGGTTAAAGTTTAGGATTTCAATGCCGAACCATCCCTTGGAGCCAATCGGTTGCTTGAACCTTGACACGATGAAGATGAAGGCGCTCTTAAGCCACTCTCTCGCTAGAAAAGCAAGATATCTGTTTTTTCAAACTATTTACACATTCATTACAAATTCTTGATGATGAAGCTCTATTTTTGCCAAATTGGGTTCTTTTTATAAACTTTTAGATGGAAAAGAAAAGATTTTTTTTTTTTCCTTCATTTGTAGTTTTAGAGGCTTCATGCATTGCATATCATCCACTTAATTAGCACTATGAAAAATAGTTTGTTAAACCATACATTTTTTTCCGGGTAGAATTGTGTATTCGAAATGAATTACTCTGGTTTCACATATAATTATATATTCAGTTCCAGTAGAAATGACTTGACAAATTAACCGGAAAATAACTCAAATAATGAGAAAAATATGCGAGAGCCCAGGATACGTCCGAAGGGAGACGACAAACAAAGCATATTAGTTGATTGGGCCTTGCTCGAGATCGTTGTTCCAGCTAATCAAGTTGTCAAAAAAAGAATTGTAGTTTGTTAGTTATATACTTTCACATGAGAGGTAAATGTGTTTTGTTTCATTGTAAGATTACGTAAAATGTTACCTCTAAAGGACCATCGTTTAGGTTGGACTTATTACTGGAGATAAATAGAAAATTAGAAACTAAAACACTGCCACAATTGAAGTTATGGCCAAATCAGTTTTTTCACCTGATGAAGTCATCAAAAGTTTATATTCAATTTCAGATGCCATGAAAGATTACATGAGGATCGTGTGCCACGAAAGGCGAGAGACTTTGATTTCACTTTCATGGAAAACATAGTGACCCTATCTGTATCCCCTCACCATTAGTTACTAGTTAAGTTAGTTATTACTCCCTGTTACATAAACCAAATGCCCGACTATTGCATTGAAATTTAGATAATAGTTCATGTTGTCTGTTCACTTGATGGAAATGGTGTACAAGTCACTGATCATATGTGGAAATGGTGTTCAAGTCAAATTGATGATTAATTGAGGATTGGCTGTAGCGTTCTTTTCCTTGGGAAAAAAAAATGTAAGAATACTGAAATGAAGAAATAGGGAGTTTATAAGTGAAATTCAAGAAGATAAGAATAAACAACTTTTTTTACCCACTTTGGCTTCCAGAAAAGTTTGGCTTAAGCAAAACATTGTCCAGACAGTATGTCTCAGAAACCATGTTAATAATGATTTCTTCTCTCACCAAGTTGCATTAAAAAGGAATGAAAGAGTTACCTACACAGCTTGTCTAGTCAGTTGACTAACATGTCATTTTTGGATGTAACGATTTGTACCTCTAGGGGTGGAAGCAAGAGGATTTATGTTTGGTCCTTCGATTGCATTGGCCATCGGGGCAAAATTTGTTCCTCTACGTAAGCCAAAAAAGTTGCCAGGTATGATTTAGATTTCGATTTGTTGTTTGGTGAATTTAGAACTCTGTCTGTTTTTATCTTGATGAGCTTAGCAACTAAAGCACCTGCATTATTATAACATTGTGCGGGAATATCCCACGAGCTCAGCAATAGAGAAGCAATTCATATCTGCAAGTGAGACCAACAAGATCAGCTCATTAAATTCTGCCAGTCCAAGCCATCATCTTGCCAAGTGCCTCTAAACGGATTAGTTGAACTTTGATAGGGTTTCCAACAAGCCCTTGGTGGATTTGGATTTAGGCACTTATTTTCTTTGCTTCCTTGCTATTTGAGCCATTCTCCATTTCACTATAGTTCCCGGAATTTAGCTACACAAATTAAATTATTTTCTCTAGTTTCGAATAGGTAAAAAATTTGAATCAAACATTTCAAAATTATTTATTTTTAGGAGAAGTAATTGCCGAAGCTTATGAGCTCGAATACGGTGTGGATTGTTTAGAGATGCATGTTGGGGCTGTTCAACAGGATGAACGTGTGTTGGTTATTGATGATATAGTGGCTACAGGTGGAACCCTAGCTGCTGCAATAAGGCTCTTGGGTGAGGTTTTTGATGTTCTTTTGTGGCTTTCCTATCATAGTTCCCTGTGAAAACTTAATTAGACTGGTTTCTTAGCTCTGTGTCAGATGACTAACATGATTGAAATCGTTGTTCACTAGAACGTGCTGGGGCTGAGGTAGTTGAATGTGCTTGTGTTGTTGGGTTGCCAGAGATCAAGGTAGTTTCTGTAAATTTCCCTTTGTATTTTTTTTGTTAGATATTGCAACCTAATTTGTGCTTCTAATTAGACATACTTGGTCTCCTTGTTCTTTCTTTAGATGTCAATTTACAAAAAGTTTACTCAAGTCATTCTTTAGATGTTTTCCAGCTTTCACTGTCATTGTATGGCATTTAAATCCTCTCACAAGGTGATTGTGGGCCTACTTATGCATCATTGTTTGGAATAGCTTAACCACATATTTGGCTGAAACTTAGCTGAGTATCCTTCTGCCATGCATGGCCATTGTAAAAATAGTAAGCACAACTTCTTTCATATGCGACTTAAAAAGGAATACTGATGTCTGTTTTTAGGGTAATTCCTTCTTGCCAGTTGATTGACTTTTTATACCGACTTTATCGATTGATTTGGCTTCATTAGATGTCAATGGCTAGTATGCACATATCTCATTAGTATCTCTGCCAATGAGTTCGCAACACATCATTTTGTATAAAACCTTGAGCTGCAGACTTCGGTGTCTTAAACCCTGCACCTGTTGAAGAAACTTATCTGGATCATACTATTCGTTAAGAATTGTTTTGATTCGTGCTGAAAGCGCATAACCGTGAAGGAGGAGCAAGTGAATTTGTGGTTTGTNTGATTCGTGCTGAAAGCGCATAACCGTGAAGGAGGAGCAAGTGAATTTGTAGTTTGTTTTCTCTTTTTCTACTTATATACTCTCCACTTTCCTCTAAGATGCTAATATATAGCATTTGTGTAAACCTTCAGAATAAGAGCATGTTTTAAAATTTATCCTACCCTCAATTCTAAGGCTTTTTAAAGTTCCAGGCTAAGGAAACACATTGTTACCGCTTACAAAGGCTTAAAGTGACAAAACTACTCTTTTGAGTCTCTTGTGAATTAGAATGCCAAAACATTTACACCTTGGTGGGGTCTGCTTAATTGATAGTATGTATGATCAGCGGGGTGTAGTAGGATAAATCATGATAAAACTTGATCTTAGTTGTTTTCAGAGTTACCGCTTTACCGTTTTTTCTTCATTACTCACCTCTAGAGACATCAAATCTGTCCATGACAATCAGGAACAAACCAATCATTTTTTTGGGAACCCTTTACAGGTGGTGTCATTTTCCCTTATCTGCCAATGCTCTGCATCTACACTTCTGTGGCTATGTCTATGTTCCTGTTTTCTCCCAATACCATTTGACTAGACTCAACTCAATAAATTCTAGTCCAACTACATCGATCCAAGTTGACAAATATATTAACGTTTACCATATATTGAAGCGTCTGATTTTTAGGAGTTGATTATTCAATACAGACATAAACAATGGTTCTCCAAAATGTCAGACTTGAAAATAAGGAGGCTCAAAAGATTTTCCGATTATGAAACTAGTTCCTTCAATTTATACCATTTCAAATTTTATCCATGTCAGTTAATCGCTATCATTACTTGTGCTCTCTTTGTTATTTTCCTAGTAAGTTCACTGTGATTGCCAGTTTTGTACAATTTCTGAATTGATTAGGAGATACCATTTGTTTATCCTTCAGGCTGAATCCTATGATTGCATCCTTTGCAGGCAGAGTGCAGGCTGAATGGGAAACCAATATATGTCCTTGNGTAAGTTCACTGTGATTGCCAGTTTTGTACAATTTCTGAATTGATTAGGAGATACCATTTGTTTTTCCTTCAGGCTGAATCCTATGATTGCATCCTTTGCAGGCAGAGTGCAGGCTGAATGGGAAACCAATATATGTCCTTGTGGAGCCTCGCCAATAGATAATTCTTTTCTTGGTAATTCTCTATTGTGCTTTTAATTTTCTCTTGCTCTATATACGTGCCATGGGCATGCTTCTCTTTACCTAGTCATATTCCTCCTCATTCCCNATGGGAAACCAATATATGTCCTCGTGGAGCCTCGCCAATAGATAATTCTTTTCTTGGTAATTCTCTATTGTGCTTTTAATTTTCTCTTGCTCTATATACGTGCCATGGGCATGCTTCTCTTTACCTAGTCATCCTTTAACACAAGCTACATTTTGTACATGGATCTAGACGTTTGGTACTACTATAACGCATTTTGAAGCTTGCCATTATCTTCGTGTGGATAGGGTGGTCTTTTAGGAGCTAAATGGAGAATTTTCTGGTGGACTTGCCATTAGCCTCGAACCCCCCCTCGGATAAGCCTGAGAACTGCATGAAAGAGTTGGGGAATATTTTTTTTGAGAAGTCAAGAATTTGAGGGTGATCAGTAGAGGTAACCAGGCAAACGGTAACGTATGCTATATGTAATGTGGCTCTCTGAGGTCCCAACATGGCTTTCAGAAGTCTATGCTCCACAGTTTTCGGCCTCTCCCAACATGAAGCTAAGTTCAACTTCAGTTTCCGTTAGTATGAGATTTGCTTTGCGAAGTCATTGTCTCTCTCTCTCTCTCTCTCTAGCTAGTTCAAGCGCTCGTGGAAAATTTTATAACTCTTTTATGTAATACTTCTGTGATTTTAGAAAAGAATGGATATAGTGCTCTGAAAGTATCTGGCTAATTGTTTATAAGAATAGAAGTGTGATCTCTATTCTGTCGTAGCATGGCGTATTATGGGCTTTATTTTTATTTTTATTGGTTTAATGGTAATGGTGGGTGGAACAATTTATGCGCATTTTAACTAATAATCTTTTCTGGATTTGTTAAAGACAAGCTATTCATGTCGAATAGGGTGTTCATGAAAGATTAATTTCTCAGAACCTAAATTTAAGGAATTGTTAATATTCAAATTCAAGACGTTTGAATTTACATACTGTCTATATTATCATTTAAGTTGCCCTTTAGCGTGTGTTTAGTTTAAGCATTAGGAAGAGTCGGATTAAATAATGTTGTACATCTTTTATCCATTCATTCGGCTCTTGGACTTATCTCATGTTTGGTTCAAGTATTAAGAAATAACGAGTCTCACATTTATCCAATTCAATATTTTGTTTAGATTGAGTATTGAATGATGGTATAAACATTAAATTGTTAAAGAACTCTCAAGATAAAGAATATTATTTATACCCTCTCACATTTATCCAATCCAATATTTTGTTTGGATGTAATATTGAATGATGGTATAAATATTAAATTACTAAAGAATTTTCAAAATAAAGAGTGATATTTATATCCTATAAATATTTAAGGATAAAAATATCTTTTGGCCTAATACACCCCAATTGGAATATTTAAACCCACTAAAAAGATGAATTTATTTAAGAGATTGTATGTAGTATTAAATATACTACTCATTTGGACCGATATTATATTTAGGTGATAATACCAGGTTCAAATGTATATACAAATATAAGTATAAGAGGGGTAAAGTAAGTCTGACGTTATTTTTTTCACTCTCTCTTTGTTAATACCTAAAGCATATACACCTTTATTTTTTTACGACACTTTGGTTTCGGTGCCATTCACCTATTTTTTTCAGTCACAAAGTGACATGGGTTAAGAATAATTAAAATCAAAATTTATGATAGGGAATTATTTTTTGGTGTAGCATAGAAAAGATAAGGGTTAATCTCAAATTACACTTTGAAAAATCGTTCGAATCTTAATTTACACTTTCAAATATCAAAAATCTTAATTTGTACCATAAAATATAGAAATTTATATCAATGCGCACCTCAAACTACCTATCGCCAGTTTGCTGTTTAAAACTAAATAGATAAATTATATTTAAACCCTCTCATGCTTGTTATTTAATCATCTAGATCTCTCATATTTAAAATTTTACATTTACATCTTTTGAGAATCCAAATATGACTAAAAATATTCCCCCAATTGAACATTCAAATAATTTTGTTTATGTGATGTATTGCATTTGATATAAAAAAATATTATATAAATATTTGTATTATACTAGACATTCAAATGGTAAGTTTGATTTTGAACTAGTATAATGGGTCTACAAAATAAAGAGTAGTATGAAATTATAATTTTTTATTATGATGAAAATCATATTTTTTAACGATTATATTAACAGATATCATCAACAAGGAGTCATGTGTTACACGTGCACAAACGTCAAGAGATTAGAAGTAATATTTTAAATGTGAGGAGTCCAAATAATTAAGTGACAAGCCTCAGAGGATTTAGGTATAATTTATCTATTTAATTTTAGATGACAAGCTGACTATTGCTAGTTTCAGGTGTACATTAATATAAATTTCTATCTTTGAGAGTGTAAATTGAGATTCAAACGATTTTTTAAAGTGCAATTTACAATTAACCCAAAATTTGATAAATTTTGATATCTCGTTGGGTCCAAGGCTCCAAGGATTCACTACCATAACATAGTCACTTACACTTTGAGATTGATTTTATCCATATCTTTATTATTCGAATCTCAATAAAATTTGTTTTAATTACCTATGAAATCTGTAAATTGTACCCACAATTCGTTCTCTAAGACCATACTATAATAAGAGGGTTACACTCTAGTTTCGAAATTTATTTTTAATATTATATCTTTCTTTTTTAATCCAAATAATGACTCTTGAAAAATTCTAATATTTTATTTCAACAATCACACTACAAATTCCGTAAACTAATTTTTTTTTTTTTGGATTAATCTCGACTTGCACCTTGGAAGGTCATTCAAATTTGAATTTGTACTCTTAAAATTTAAAAATATTAATTTATACCCTGAAAGACATAAATTCGTATCAATGTGCACATATCCTAACTCCATTTATTTTGTTGTTGAAAATATTTGGACTAATTATAAAATATATCCCTCAAAGTTTAAATATTTCTATTTATGATCTAAAAAGAATTTTATTCATTAATGCTTGTATCATATTATAATATCTTCGTCTCATATTCGAGTTAATAAAAAAATATTTTTAAAACTTAAAAAAATTATTATTTTATTTTTTTTACTTATAATACTCGTTAAATAGTTATTTTTTTTATCAACAATTAGACACAATTTTTTTGATTGTTCGATCAAATTAAAGTTAGATACGAATAAGACAATTATAAGACATAAAATAGTCGTTTAATGAATATAATAGACAAAAAAAAGGTATTTTAATTTTTAAAAAATATTAAATAGTATTTTATGAATTTTTGTAAATGTAAAAATATATTATACAACACAATTGACTCGACACGAAAATATTTTGTGTTAAAAATATTTTTTAATTGACTCAAATACGACACGAAAATGTTATGACATGATACAATTGAGAGTTATTTAACTAGTATTAATGGATTAAATTCTTTTTGAATTATAAATATGAAATATTTAAACTTTGGGGGTATAATTTATAATTAATTGAAATTTTTTTAACGGTAAAATAGATGACAATTAATTTTAGGTACACATTGATATGTATTTATATTTTGAGGGTAGAAATTAATATTTTTAAAGTTTAAGAATATAAATTGAAATTCGCATAATTTGCGAGGTGAAGTTGAGATTAATCCATTTTTTTTTTCCGTTACTTTATCCTATTTACTTAAAGCGAAGAGTCGGAGTTCTCTTCTTAAACAGGCTCCACGGCAAACCGCCACAAACCCAAGTTTACTTCCTTCCGTGAAGCCTTGATACACTACCATCTCCCCAAATTAAGCTTGTTCCACTCAAAACCCTAACCCTAACCCTAACCCTAACCCTAACTTCCACAGAGAATCGATTGATCAATCAATCGTTGTTAGGTTCAATTCAAAGTTCTCAGAACACAATCAATCGTTGGTCGTAAAAATCTAACACCATGGTGTTGGCAGAGTTGGGGGGGAGCATTTCTCGTGCTCTCCAGCAGATGAGCAATGCTACAATCATCGACGAGAAGGTTCTCGCCGAGTGCCTCAACGAGATCACCCGTGCTCTTCTTCAGGCGGATGTTCAGTTTAAGCTTGTTCGCGATATGACGAACAATATTAAAAAGATCGTCAATCTCGACGATCTCGCGGCTGGACACAACAAGCGTAGGATCATCCAACAGGCAAGCTTTTATTCTTATACCAGATTCGTATCTTTTCTCTGTATCCTCTGTTTGATTGCAGCAGTGAAATTGAAGGGTTTTTTTTTTTTTTTT